ACATCGACGGCGAGTGGGGCACGGTGTGCGACGACGGCTGGAGCTTGCCTGCCGCCGCCGTGGTGTGTCGCCAGCTCGGCTTCCCCTACGTGGTGCGGGCCACCAAGAAGGCAGAGTTCGGGGAAGGGACCTCCCTCCGCATTCTTCTGGACGATGTGCAGTGCTCCGGGCAGGAGAGGACGCTGCTGGAGTGCTCCCATGGCGGTGTGGGCACGCACAACTGCTCGCACGAGGAGGATGCCGGTGTGGTGTGCAGCCGGGAGGAGGTGACGGACCGGTGACCGAGGGGTGGGGAAGGCAGCTCGGGGGCTTGGAGCGCATCCCTTTCTTGGCCAGCCCTCTAAACCAGCTGCAGTATTGAGGAGGGTGTGCCCTGCCTTGAGGATGCTGCGTCTGTTCAAAATAATCTCATGTTCAAAGTAATCTCATGTTTTTTTCGTGTTCGTCCCCATGCATCTGCCTCAGAGGGAAAAAAAAAAAAAGTAAAATGAGGCAGTGAATTGAGTATGATGTGGGCAGGGGCTGTATTTCTATGTTGTTTTTTTTGTAGGAAGAAACCCCCAAGCATCAGACTTTATAGATCAGAAAAGATGCATCCTGTTGCCCTTTCCCATTTCAAAATACAGCATTCTTCAGCTGTGCTTCACAATGTTTTGCCAAAAAATAAATTCCCAAATGACCATGTTTTACTCTTACGGAAGCATTTGCATTGCTCCCCTTGCTTTGCCACTTGCAGCTCTGAGCTGCAGTTTCTAAGGACATGCCTTTCTAAATCTGTGCCTTTCTTTGCAAATTAAAAAAGTGGGGTTTTTTTAACTTTCCACCCACTAGTTTAAAGGAAAATTGTTTTTCTGTAATGCTTTTTATTGGTATAAACCTATTGGTCATCAAGAATAAGCAAAATCAGATGATTTAGAATAAATCATAAGGTACTGCATGGAAGAAAATTCTGCAGTTTACATTAGCCTAAGTGAAAAGAAAATCTGACCACTTTTACATGAACAGGATTGAAAATCTGTCCTTTTTTAGATGAACAGGATCATTATCCAGCTTAGCTCTGAAGATACTTTGTACATGTTTATCCACTTTCCCAAACTTTATGAAGGCACATGTTTTTTCATTCAGTTTTTCACAGGTGTGAATGACTAGACAAGAGGTAATGCACTGTGGCAATAATCCTGTAATATTTACCCCTTTTTAGAGGATATTAAAAAAAAAAAAAAAAGCAAACAAAAGCAACCCTATTTTGTCTGAAATGTGTTTTTCACCTGAGTGGTGATGGGAGACACATGTTGTCTTATGAAAGCATTTGGCCTGGTTATTTGTTTTCCCTGGTGTAATCAGGATAGGTTTTTTTTTTCTTGCTGCTCACACAAGAACATGAGAAAGATAAAAACAATCCCCAAAACCTAAATAACCTCAAATGAAAAATGACCAGTGTATCCAGAAAAGTTCACAAGCAAAACCTTGTATCTAAAGCTCTTACTGTGGATATTTATTTTAACCCAATTTCAAGTTGACAGTATCTTCTTAAGCCTAAAACATGCCTAGGGTAAATTAATCTGTTTTAAATATTTTTCCTGAACTTTCTGATAAATTCTCTTTGAATTGTTTTTGGTATTAGAGAACACCTTCAATACACAAAACCAGATGATCAAAAAAATAGTATTTCCCCCTACTGCTTATGAAGTATGAAGGGAGAACAGATGTATAAAGTGCCTTTTGAGAAGTACTACTCTCGTTTCATTTGAAAACCTACAAATGCCATCACACACCAGACTGTTATCAGGCCTTTCCCATTTCAGTGAAGTTGCAAACACATTTGTTTCAAATGCAGAAATTCACTTCAGGCACATCAAAATGAGTCCTTTGTAAATTCTTCTGTTAAAAGAGTTGGAGCCTATAGCTGGTGGGACTAGAGGGCTGGAAGAAAATCGAAGGTGGAGATACAATCTTTCTTTTTCCAAATTCCTCTTCTGCTTCTTTTGGCTCTTTGGCCAAATTTCAGCTCCCTCTGTCTGGGAGATTTTAAGGAGAATATTGGTCATAGTTATACTTCAAAATTACTGGGTAGAAAAAAAGGCCTACACAATAAAAGTTACCCTAAAGGAATTAAGGTGATTCCGGGATGTCTGCCACATTAGGCATTTCACCATCATTTTCTATTATGTATTCTTTTTCTAATTTCACTACTAGTTACCCTGCACCAGCTTTAGTCTGTTGAATGTCCTGAGAACAAGCAGAGGCCACGTACACCTTGGATATTGCTGATGGTGATTGCCAGCACCCCTGGCCTGCAGGCAGGGTGACACACAGGCTCTGGTGACAGCCAGAAGCACGGAGGAACCAGCCCCTAGGGAGCAGCTGTGGGTGAGAGCGAGCTGTGCCTGCCTGTGCTGGCAGAGAACCCCCTGTGTTTGCTGGTGAGGTGTTTGCTGATGCTGCTATGGGGGTGCTGCCAGCTCCACAGGGAGAAACAAGACTCGTAAATACAGGGTTTTTTTCCTCTTATCCTTTCTCCCAGCCTGAGTGGGAAAGGTGTTCAAATAGGATCGAGCCAGCTCAGCACACGTGGCTGTGTGTGCATGTCTGTGTCTGCCAGCTCAGTATGCTGCTGTGATGCTGGGAGGGTATTTCTGGCCATTGTGGTCCCTTCCAAGCTTAAAATATATCTGTTCTAAATGCTGGTATCAGTCAGTCTAGTTCACTAGTATTTAAATTATGAGCCTGTACTATTTAAAGCACTCAATGCATTTACTCACATGCATTTAAATACCTGCTATCTCATCTGTTGTTTAATAGGATTCTTATGGATATCATTTTTATATAGCAGGATGTCACACCAATTGAGCATTAGATAAACTAATAATCCCTGCTGCTACACTTGAACATGATAGTATACTTCCTGGATGCTAATTCAGGATAATTCTTAAAATAGCCAACAGTGCAACCAGACTTCCTCACGTACTGTGTGGCAGTCCCAAAGTTTTGTCTAGTAACGATATGGTTTATTGCTTATATGCCTTGTCTCCTGATTCAACTCTGTGACTGAGACTGGAGCACCTACATTTTTCCTTACATATCTTTCCTAAAGTTAGCACAGCTGCATCACATAGAGGACCCAGCATATCTCTAAGGGAACAGTAAACTCAGCCTTTCCATTGTCTTTTTCTCTACCTCCAAGGAAGAGTAGCTCTGCCCAGAGCTCAGAATTCTTCACTTATGTCCTTGTGGTGCCCAGCATCCAGCCTGAGCACTGCCTCACTGTGTTGCATTCTGCAGTATAGGCATTATCTTCATTTGAACTTACCATGCTCTTTCCAAGAAGTCCAATAGATAAATCTTCCCAATATATCTGGGAATAATCTTTAGAGCTTGCTGCCCAAGCAATGGAGGGATATTGAAATAGGTAGGGTGTTGTATCAGAGGTTCTCACTCAAATGCTGGCAAAACCCTCCTGGGAGCTGAGCCCTGGCTGGAGCACTCCATGAGGATTTCCTCCATGTCAGGGGAATTTCTGCTCTGCCCAGGTCAGGCTGCAGGGCATGAACAGCACAAGGCACATGAATCACATTATTATGGGCAGAGGTGTGTAATAAAATTGTACTGAAGACATGACTCAAGTTCAGAAAACTCACTGTGGGCGACACTGGCACAGGGTGCAAAGATGAGCCTGGGGCCCCAGCTCCACATGCTGCCATCGTGTTTGTCTTGCCTTTATCTCCCCTATCAGCCTCTCACCAGTTAGGACTGGTTGTGTTGGACTTTATGATGGCCAAGAAGAACAGCAGCTCTTGAATGCCTGCCCTGCCCCAGGGCTCAAACCCAGCAAAACACTCCCAGGGCTGTGCCCAGCTCAGCCTGCCTCTTCTTTCACGAGTTAGCATTGATAAACCTGCAGGGCTGCAGTCCGCAGCACAAATCCATCCCTCTGTAGGAGAGCTCAGCCTGACGCTGTTTGGGTGTGGTCAACATGGAAATTCAGAAGCACAGAGGAGAAAAACAGTCACAACGTATCAATATCCAAGTCTGCTTTCCTCTAGGAAACATGCCAGCAGTTGTCTCTAAAGGTCAGCTTGGCATATGAGATACATTGGCCCCCTTAGATACTTTCAGACATAAACACATATTTTTCTATATGAAGAGATGTAAGCACCTTTTGATAAATACTAACTGTATTCCAAATTTAAGCTTTAAGAAAGCATAGGGTTTTTTTTCTTCCATAAACCAACAAAACATGGAACCCATTTGATGTGTGTTCATACCTTGTTGGCTCATACATAATTTTCCCAAGGTTCTTATGTCTGGGGCACAGGTGCAGATATAGACCTGCCTCTAGCAATGTTTCAACATTGTCAGAAAAGCAGCTATGATGGAAATGGCAATCATTCCTTTACAATAATGTGGTAAATAGGGATGCTATTTTTAACAAAACTAAACAAACAAAAAACAATCTGTAGTGTTCAGTCAGTTGTGCAAGTATCACATCAAGTATTTTGTTCCTCAGGGGCATTAATTGTTGATAATCACTAAACTCTTAGGTTGTTTATGTTATTACTAACGTCTTGCCGTTTACTTGTCCACTCTATGCTGGAAAATTTTATTGGCTGAGAATGATCAGGACTTCAGTATATAAGGGTTGGGGAACAACTGACTCTGGGTGAAAATCACTGTAAAGGTCTGTATGTGGTAATGCTGGATAAGTAACACCTCACCCACTGCAGATTTTGTTTTGACTCCTATATCCAGCATAATCTGTGGCTACAGGCCTCGTTTTAGATCAGCTAATTCATCACTATTAATTTGCTATGAGTGTTTTCCTGTCCACGTCTGCCGTGGTGAATTCTGAGTGACCAGCCCTGTGGCTATTCGTGTGCTGCTGAAGGCATTTCCCAGCATCAGAGCTGCCTATGCTCTGCCTTCTTGCTGTCCTCACAGCTTAAACAAAGCTGCACCTTCAGAGAGAGAACAGAATGTTCTCAAATCTAGATAGCCATGCAAAGCCAAGCAAAAGAGAGCAGGAGTTCGGACTAACCCTATGTATCACCAGCTTTTAAAAATCACCTAGGAACTTCACTGTTAACAGTTCCCAGTTTTCTGCTTCTCTGACCAGCTCCCAGACGTGTTCAGCTGCTCGCGTTTGCGAATGTGCATGTTGGCAGAATATCCACGCGGTGGCACTTCAGTCCCCAGCAGCAAGGGGACCCGCGGGGAAGCCCAGCCCAGCCCAGCCTTGCTCCTCCTCCCAGCCCAGCCTGTGGCTCCCGGGCAGATCATAAACACAAGAGTGTCTTGGGATCATGTCCTTCACTCAAGGGTATAGAAACACGTTAGAATACAAACAAAGGGTTGTATTAAAGTTTGTTGGGACACAAACAAAAGTTTGTGTTTTTTTTTTTTATTGAAGTTCATCTTTAAAGCTT